TTCATCTACTTTTTGCAAACTCTGAGCTGAAACGCTATGATATGATGCAGGAGTAAATGATACAGTGATTTCGAATTTGATAAGGTAATGGCCCTTAGCTAGAATTTATTATAGAATCTTTGCACTTCTGAGAGACTCAAAAATGGCACACGGGTGTTGTGTAGAGTAAATTGCAAATATGCCCACTATTCAGTGAATATCTATTGTTTTATCAACTTACTGACTGCGCACTTTTACAAGTGAGGCACAATGGTGTTTTATGATGATGAATTGACAAGGTCCGAAAGCTGCCATGCCTAACAGTAAAAATGTAGTGTTTGCCTCATGAGTCGCAAAATTGTGAAAAGATAGGAGGCGAAGGAAGAAGAGGAAGTGGGGGGGGGGGTACGAAGAAGTGTGAACTGACATAAGGTAGCTGCATCAGACTGATTTTATGTAGCTACATCGAAAAAAAATCTATTCCATTTTGCTCTCCCTTGATGCAGCGATGATGAGGTTTATCTTGTGCAGGCATGTTGTTAAGGTTTTCGGACTGTGTGATAAGAGCAGAACTGTATTCTCGTTAATGAAATAGTTTTTGTATGTTTGCTCCTTTTTTTCTTTGAAGGTACAAATTATTCAAAAAGACACTTTGTTATTCTCCTCGTAATTTTCTTTCTTTCACATGATTTTTTTAACTTTGTTAACACAAATTTCATCTACATCCAAACCCTACAAAGTGGTTCCTAAATCGCCTAAAACCCCTTCCTCCTTGCTTAGTTACATCCTTTTGAAAATTTTATGGTGGCGCAATGCTGCTCGAGACGCCCAGTGCTGCTCGCTGGATACACCATGCCGCCAATCCAAAAAATACAAACATCATCGTGTTCGTTTGATGGTTTTTTTGACGTTTTTTCTTAGTTTTGCATTGTTCTGTTCCTTTTCATGTATTTTCTCTTCTAATATCTCATGGCGGATGTCGTAGTCAGGGCCCGACACAGATCGTCTGGAAGCAGGCTGGATTTCGTTTTTGGAACAAAACGCAAAGGGGATATCGTTTTGGACGAGTTGGAGCCCAGCACCAAGAATAAGCGCCACTTAATCAAACACACGCCTTATTGTGTGATAACCTGTCTAGCTTTGTCACACGATTGACATGCTCCATCGTGCTTGGCGAAAAGTGCGCGCGATTTGAAAGCAAAGCTATGATAAACAAATTGCTTGTTTACAGCGCACATAAAAGCATATGACACCAAAATTGAAGTGTATACATAGAAAATTATTTGCGAAAGTAATGTGTAAAAAGATTTGAAAACTTATGCGAAGTAATACCTTTTTTTTAAATTAGTTCGTCTCCAGACGGTCACGAGACCATCTGAGATCGTCTGGAGCATATATTTCTGTCATTTCACATAAGTTTTGGATTTTTCTATCATAAACGGATTCCCCGCTCAAAAATCTATCCCTGAGCATAAACATTTTCATATCATTGCCTTTCCTTTGTCTTTTGCCTTAATTTCTTCATAAATTGCTTTGTTGAATATCGCGCTCCAATGCCAATCTATCTCTTCAGCTCTAATTTGGATTTTCGCTCTTATCTCACGTTTTTTCTCTTAGACTAGTAAATCTTTCTTATTTTCATCTTCTCCTAAGTAGGTAGGTCAAAGGGAACTTCTTAAAACTTCCGAAAGTCAGGGGACACTTCGTTTGCAGAAACCCTAGAAACAGACTCGTGCCGGGCTCTGGTCGTAGTTCCATTGTGAAGTCAGAGAGGACTTCGTTTTTTGCAATTTCGGGAAGCCACCTCGTGCCGAGTCTTGGTCTTAAGCGGATCCAGTAATGAGGAGAAGGAGGGCAAAGAGTTTAAAACCACCGACACGCTTGGCGATGCAACAATAAAACTTCCTTTCTTAGTTCTAATTCAGTTCTGTAGGATAATTTTTCAAATATACGATTCAATCACTTTGTAGCCAAAGAGGACCTCTTTTTGCCTCCTGTTGATTTTCAAAAAAATGAGCAAATGTTTCGAACTGAAGTTCTGTAATCATTGTAGGATTTGCTTTTACAGAATTTTTATTTCTTAAGTAGCGTGCGAGTGCGACTGCCACTGCAAATGGAAATAGACAGACAGACAGACAATACCTGATATACAAGACAAATACCACCCCTATATTTACCTTGTTAAGGTTTTCTGCATGAGCTGTACTCTCTGAATTCCTTTTGCAGAGACTGAACAGATAGAAAATTAAGACTTGCGCTCATTTCTTTTGAGTTGTATCTCAAAGAGAGCCGCTGTTTTGAAAACACACTGAAAAAATTGGATTGCTGAGGTGAAGCTTCCAGGCTTAAACGGAAGTGTGCTCATCCCTGCGCTTAGGCTAGTGTGGGCGAGATATATTAGGTTGGCACATAAGTTTTGCAACTTTTCCCATAAATTTTTCCTATTTTATGTAGACATTTCATTTTGTGGCATCATGTAGATCGTGATGTATGCTGCAAGTCTGCGCAAACCGTATGATTTTTGATAACGTAGTACAAAAAATCTAAGCATTTTTTTGAAAATTGCTGAAAATCAAAGTTTCACGATTTTTTGGCAAACATGAAGCCCTACGAAACCTGATTCAAACATATGAAAAAGCAATTTTAAGCAGCATGTAGCAGGAAGTTGGCACATTGGAATCAGTGAAAAAGAAATGCAATTTAAAGACAAATTAAGGTGGGGCGCCTTTGAGAATTTGAACAAGTCAAATGCGTCAAGTTTTGAAGGCAATTTGTCAATAACTAAGCTGCGAAAAGTCAGAATTCGCTATAAATTTGCACTATAGGGTAATCCTATGCGGTAAACACGAATATCATATTCATTTGTCGCTAAAATGAAATTCATTTTCTGATCCCACGAACGAAGCCTTTTCATGCAAAACGGATCTCATTTTTGTGATCAGCACGTCAAATAAGCCCTATAGGCCAAGTTTCAGCAAAATCTGATGCATTCTAAAAAATTTCCCATAGTACCGTAAACCTACCGTAATCCTCACATAAAATGGTAAAATTCGGCAAAAATGTGTGCATTAGAAGCTTATGTCATATTCCTTATATTGCCAAAAAATGAATGCGCTACGTTCAAATAGACAAAAGTTATATAAAAAGTTGCATTACTTATGTGCCAACCTAATATTAGGCTGTAACAGAGATGCAGGTTTTCCGCGCACCTTTTCAGAATGCTGCTTTAGAACGGCGAACTATTTTCCTAGAGAGTTTCACATATCACCTAAAAGCTCTTTTCCTTTGATTTCTTATACATTTTTTAATTTCAGGGGAAGTGAATTCGTTTAGAAATTTCTGCTTGTGAACTTCAATTCCTCAAACTTTTAATATACTCGGCTCTAGAACACCATGAAAAATTGGAATTTTCTGCAAACATAGCGTTTTTGAGTGAGCTGTGTTACAAAATGCGTACTGAGTCATGACTTTTAGAAGCTTCTGAGCCGCAAAAATTCAAAACGGAATTCAAGGGCCGCAGCGGTCCGTCTGCCCTATATATTAGGTTGAACCGAAAGTTCGTTCGCACCATTTTCAAAAAATCATAACTTCTTTCCTTTCGTAACGATTTTGTGCAATTCAAATTTTATTAGAAAGCTTGAAGCACGTAGTTTCTAATGGTCCCTTGGAGTCTTTCCAGCATGTTCAGATTGCAGAGATGAAAATGAAGGAGCGAAAACATCCGAAATTCGGAGTTTTTGAGCAAAAATTCTAAAAATCTAGAAACTGCGCGATAAAATCCAGAAAAGCCATTATCCTAATTTTTTTACATTTGATTACTAACTGAGTTAAATTTGTGCTAATCGAGCTCTTCTTTCAAAAGTTATGATTTTTTGAAAAAAAAAATTCCGAAAAATCACTTTCCTAAGAATTCCTAAGAAATTGATTTTTCGGCATTTTTTCTCAAAAAATCATAACTTTTGAAAGAAGAGCTCGATCAGCACAAACTTAACTCATTTAGTAATCAAATATAAGAGAAATTAGGATAATGGCTTTTCTGGATTTTATCGCGCAGTTTCTAGATTTTTAGAATTTTTGCTCAAAAATTCCGAATTTCGGATGTTTTCGTTCTTTCATTTTTATCTCTGCAATCTGAACATGCTGGAAAGTCGCCAGGAGACTATTGGAAATTACATGCTTTACGGTTTCTAATAAAATTTAAGTTGCGCAAAATCGTCGTGACGGAAAGAAGTTATGATTTTTTGAAAATGGTGCGAACGAACTTTCGGTTTAACCTAATAAAAATCCTCAGCGCGAAGAGACCGCGGAGCTTCCGCTGTATGTAAGAAAAATAGACTTAGGGATTTATGACTAAAAAACCAGTAGAGTTCTTGAAGTTCTTCATTTTCAGCTTCAAAAAATTCAAAACTAAAAAAAGCATTTTTCACCTCCTGAGAAGGATCGCAAAAAATGAGTACTTTCACAATTTCAAATATCCTCTCCCAAAATTTTTTTCATAGAATCCATCTTTGGCGCCGCTGCACAACCAACTATACGCTACAATAAGTATGCCTTCATACATTTAAAAGTTATGATTTTTAAATTGAAACTTTTTCATGAAATTTGCTGACAATGTCCTGGCCATAAGATTTTTCTGAAGCTACAACAACAAAATAACGCACCCTGAGTTGCCGAATGTTTGCTGATTACAACAGGTTTTATTACACCAAAGCACATGTTTGTGTAAAAGGTTATGGTAATCCAAACTCAAAATTCAAGAAACTCGCATTAATTCTGTTACATAGTACTCTATTTTGATTTTGAGAATGGAGAAATTATTTTGATTTAACCAATCACATCTCAAGTAGTTGACTTCTCATTGATCATTAAGATACGTATTTACGATTTTGCGCCACTTTAGCAGCAACTCCCTCGTATCTGTTGTTGTCATACAATCACACGAATTCTGCACCATTCGCTTAGCTCCGTTTATTTTGCGAAAAAATTCTGTAATTATGGATGCGTTTCCAGTCTGCAGTCCATCACAGTCCAAGTGCGCAGGAAATTAGGTCAAGAGGATGGGTTGATTTCTCAATATTTCCACCTTTGCAGCTAAAAAGAGAAGTCAGTTATTGAGAGTAATGACCTTTTGAAACGGAGTACATACTGGCACTGGTATCCTCCACTGCAAAATTTATTGTACACCTGGACACATTCTCCCCATTCCCGTCCCTTACATTTGCGGCAATAATCATGACAGGATTTCCAAAGTATACCAGTGAAAAACTGTAACGTTAAATTTATGTCATCTCATCCCAGTAAGAAGAAATCGACTTACGCTTGTTTGTGGGGTACAGCGACTCCAATCGTTGTAACAGGTGGTCAAAGGGTCGGCTGCATAGGATGGACATATGAATATTAGAGACAGTACGACGCAAGGAAGCAGTCCAAAGAACATACAGACTTGCATTTTTGAGTTAACTGAGCATCCCGAGATGCGTACGTATTTATACTCCATTCGCCACCCCTTCCCCACCTGTGGATGTTTTCGCGGTTAGATCTATGTGATATGGAAGCACTGTAAAAAATGTTTCGTTGTTTGAAGTGAGTCATCTTCTCAGTTTTGCTATCTGCACAGCAATCGTGAACTTATGAACTCTATCACTCAATTGTAAAAGCCCCAAAAAGCTAGCCCATTTCGCACACGAAGTACTTTTCAGCTCCCAGAAAAAAGTTTGCAGACAATACTATTGAGCTCCTAACTCATGGGAAAAAACGGATTGCGACAAATTTTTCCTTCGCGACATATTTATCTTCGCAAAACTGTCGCAATGCTATAACTTTCTTTGAACTAGCTTTCAAAAGAAACGGAGAACATCTTTGGATTGCTGAGAATCTAGCGATTCAGAACAACTGTTAAAATTTCAAAATTGCTTTTATTTGAGCTGTCGCGACGTATTTGTCGCGACAAAACCGTCGCACCGAATTAAGTTGCTTAAACATAAGTTTCGTGGAGTAACAAGTAAATTTTTGAACTTCTGGCAGAATTTTGACTCAAAAGAAGCTTCAAAAAACCAAAAAGGCTCTTGTACCAAACATGTAGTGATAATTTGAAATGTTTTCATCAAATTTAGGTCAAATTTACGAAAATTTTGAATAAGCCGCAAAATTTATACCAGCAATCGACAGCAATGAGCATTGCGTTGTTTCTTTGATAATTTCGGATCACCGACTTTAATGCAGGCTGATTTGGCCCCTCAAGAATGACCTAGCCTGCAGACACGAACTGCGGATTTCGAGGCTTCATAATTTTCAACTTTATGCAGCTTTGGTCAAATAACTTTGCTATCAGTAGAGTACAATGGCTCTTTAAACAAATCAAGGTGAGTCTGGTCTCTTATATGGAATGGTACTTGAAGGTGAGCAAGCATCGTCAATATGGTGCCACATTATCGAAGCCGTATTGCAGGCAGTTGGAAAGTAAAAGAGCCGGAACTTCATCCACATCTGAAATGGTGCTTGCTGTTTAAGAATTTCATCTTTGAAAATGTGATTTGGAAATAAGAAGTGTCTGATGGTTCCGGGAAAAGTGCAAATGTCAACGATAAATTCACGAAATTTTCACGAATTTCAGTGTTGTCTTAGATTTCATAACTTCCACATATTCTGAATCTACGCAAAAAATGCTTCTAGAAAATGTATGAACTAAATATCTTAGCAACACCTAAATATGCCTTATTCTTGCTTCTTTCCTGATTACAGCTGCCATACCCTTAATTGGGTGCTCCTGCACCCAGAGCTCTGCACAGTTGGATTCGCACCTAAAGGCATGTGTTCGCCGCCTAGCTATTTGGGAAAGAGAGAATTTGAATCAATCCGCCCAGTCCTTACTTTTGCTTGAAGTGCTCCTGGAAGAACCAGTTGCCAAACTAGATTTAACAGAAAATTGATAGCATGAACATACTGTCACAATTTAAATTTTTTATATTAGACTTACCATTTTCACGAAATGTTTAAACATTCATTTTTTTGGTTGGGCTACGAAACTTCTGCCAAAAGTCTTTTTGGCATTTTTTTTCAAAAATTCTCAAATGTGCAATTTCCATATTTCGTGGCATAGTATAACTCGGATAGCTTGGCATCAGAGATCATAGATTATTTCGTTGTCCGATTTTGCCAAATCGAGATAGCCAAGAGCACCTGCAGCCAGCTCAGCTAAGCCCAAAGGTGAGAAGTTATCTACCGAATGTCACCCAGATATTGATTAGTAATTATGAGAATAAAGTGTACATTCTGAATGTCGCAGAATTTGTCTAAATTAAGCTCAGGGAGAAAAGACTCCAATGAAATAATGTTGCTCAAGTAAAAGATTAGCTGTGGATGTTCAAAATTATAAAAAACCAAATGTGAATTTGAAAAAAATTCAACATGGAAATTCTTTGAATTCGTTCGATTTATTTCAGTTTCTGAATTCTTCTTCAATCAAGAAAGCTCCAAACTGTAGCTCCGACTCTGATCGCTCAGAGCAAGGGGGCATGACCCACTAAAATTTTTGTAAATTATGCTGATGGCTTATGTGCCCTGCTTCGTTTCCACTGGCATTCACAGCAAACGAAGGGCAATGCGTCTTGCAAGACAATGGATAAGTTTCCGAGATGCGACGCTGCAGAAAATTTCTTCCATTTTTCTTTTCTTCGAAATTTCTGTTTTAGTTAAAACAACCTTGTTTTGCGTTGAAAATGGTTGCATCTCGTGTGGTTCGGTTGACGGGAAATTACGTGTTGATTCATAAATTATCCACGATATTTTTTTGTCTTTTGGTAGGTTAGAAAGGCTGAAAAACTTCGAAATGGCCATATTTCAGTTTCATCAGTTCGATCTTCTGCGCTGAGTGCTCGATTTCCACACAATAGAGTTTGGAAAAATAAGATTGACAAAGAAATCAAAATCTGAATCAAATCCGTCAAATGGCTAATTTGAAATTTTCTGTTCTCAATTTTGAAAATTTTGGAATTTTTTTCGTAATTCAAACAACAACGCCATTTCTTTACCTGAGTAACATTATTATTTCACTGAGGTCATGCTTCATCGTAAACCACTTAGATAAAAATTTTGCGACTATTGAGCAATATTCCACAATTAATCGATATCTGGATGACATCGTCGATAACTTCGCTCCCTTGGTCATAGCTGTGTCACTTGGGTCAGATGTTCTTGACCATCTCTCAGTAGCATGCCCAGATGATAAAAGAAGAATGCATGATTTCGCGATGCATTCACAGTTATCATACAATTATACAGTTTTAGAAAATATGAAAACAACGCGCATTTGAGGGTTCAAAAAATCGAATTTGAAATTACCGCTTGGTTGGACCAGAAGTTCCATGGTCCAACCAAAAATAAAGTACCGAACATTTTGTGAAGACAGACAATCTAGTATAAAAATACTGAAGGTATAACAAAATTTCATGCTATCATTTTCTGCTAATGAAAAATGAAATGCCTTTGAAAAATGAAACGAAATGAACCAAACGGTTCTTCCAGGAGCACTTCACGCAATGTGGAAGTTATGAAATCTAAGACGACACTGATTCGTGAAAATTTCGTGAATTTATCGTTGACATTTGCACTTTTCCCGGAACCATCAGACACTTCTTATTTCCAAATCACATTTTCAAAGATGAAATTCTTAAACAGCAAGCACGATTTCAGATGTGGATGAAGTTCCGGCTCTTTTACTTTCCAACTGCCTGCAATACGGTTTCGATAATGTGGCACCATATTGACAACGATGCTTGCTCTCCTTAGTTCAAGTACCTATATCTTGAAAGGCATTCCATATAAGAGACCAGACTCACCTTGATTTGTTTAAAGAGCCATTGTACTCTACTGATAGCAAAGTTATTTGACCAAAGCTGCATAAATTTGAAAATTATGAAGCCTCGAAATCCGCAGTTCGTGTCTGCAGGCTAGGTCATTCTTGAGGGGCCAAATCAGCCTGCATT